TGTGTATGGTTGGGGACTGGCGCATTCTTCCTGTGTGAGCGCCAGGCCCCTTCACACCATGGAATGATGATGATGTATGTTTGGTCTGCATTGCAACATTGATTGTTCGGATCATTGGTATATTAGCCTTCCGCTGTGCTATCTTGTACTATGTGAAGAGAGGTCGGTTCTTGTTCTGGTCTGCACCTTTACGGTATGCGACATCAGGGGCCCTTCGGCCAGACGGAAGGAAGCATGAGTGCGTGTCCGGATGTAACATTTTATTACGACTTGCCGGTGGAATAGGAACCGGACTGATGCTCCCCAGAATGGAAATGGAGCCAGGGCCATAAGGACCTGTTTTATTTATTAAAAAAAAAAAAACAGAACTGAATCCTCACAGCGGAAAAAGTTTGACAGTCGCAAGCAGAAAAAGACACATGGGGGGCGGTTGGGACATTGAGTGGAAGTCAAACAGCTTAAACCACCAGTGCATCTGAGCCTCTTTTTGCCGAGACGGATTCCCCTGGGTGCCAAGCTTTGCCGAAGCGCCAGTGCAACGTTTTTCCTTCTTTTTTTCTTCTTTTTTTGGCTGGTGCAGCCAGCCATTTTGGTCCGATAGCACTGTTCATCCAAACTTTTTGGCGTGATTCATTCGATTCCCAAGTTTGCCTGGGCGGTTTACTTGTGGTCTAGCAGAGAGAAGAAAAAGAAGCAGAAGCATAGCTCAATGGTATGTACCTAGAAGGGCATGAACAGCCTCGACCCCGATGCGCGCTGGAGCCGACAATCCTCCCATTATGACTCTGCAGGACCATTCAAGTACTAAGCAAAAGACGACCCCCTTTTGGGATTAACAAAACGTTTACAAAGACCAAGAAGAAGAATGGGGAAAAAAAAAAAAAAAAAAAAGAAAGGCATGAAAAGTTGGGAAGCGGGCCATCTCAGCTCCTGCAAATGCTCCACGCCCTTCCTCTCAAGTTCTCAACTCAGAAATGTGGGCTACACTCCGGCGCTACCCCATGTCTAGCTGCACAAGCTGACTGCATGTTGTATGCAAAACTTTTCACTAACCTCAAGCAAAATGTGAGCTTCTGCACCTGCAATCAGTTGGGGACCACAAACCTGCCATTCGAATAGGAAAGGCCAACCACACAAAGCAAGCCACTTATTTACATCAGTAGTGAATTGGCTCAATTGAGTGATCGCTTACAATTTACCCGAGGTAGAAAACACAACTAAAGTGAATCAGAGCCTCGTAATCTCGCTATGTGCTGGAACACCTCGGAAGGTACGAAGTACGAAGTCCTTCTTCGCTTAGATTTCCAAGTATGAAATTTACATGTATCATGAGTCATGAGTCAAGACATGCCATTTAATGTTTTATAATAAGTATTAACAACTCTTATTGTATTCTTGCATAAACAGCATAAGTAACATGACAATAATAAACCAAGCGTGCATTCGAGAAACAAATGTGGAGACTCTGGAGAGACAGCAGGAAAGGAGGATAGAAGAAGACAAGCAGAAGGGAAAGTGCACCTGGAATTGAACTCTTTTATTCGGAGTACGAAGTTACTAAGAACCTGTTACTGTTACACTTTCTTTCTTTCTTTCTTTCTTTCTTTCTTTCTTTCTTTCTTTCCCTAACAGTAACCACCAGTTACTGTTGAGAAAGAAAGAAAGAAAGAAAGAAAGAAAGAAAGAAAGAAAGAAAGAAAGAGAGAAAGAAAAAGAAAGAAAGAAAGAAAGAAAGAAAGAAAGAAAGAAAGAAAGAAAGAAAGAGAAAGAAAGAAAGAAAGAAAGAAAGAAAGAAAGAAAGAAATGGAAACTGAGCATTGAAGCAGCAGGTGGGATCGTCGCGACAGCGCCGCCCGGTGAGCGCTACACACAGCGCTAATCCGCGGGCCAGCGTCGCCGGCCTTTTTCGAATTTCCACTTTTGCCGCGCGCGCGGGAGTACGCCTCACACATCATTCAGCGAATTCGAGCGGGAAATACCAAGACAAGGAGAGACCGTAGTCGTCACGTCTCGCCACGCCTTCGGGCGTGGCATCCTCAGCATTACCACGAGCCCGTCTCGCCACGCCTTCGGGCGGGGCGTCCTCATCATTACCACGAGCCATACCGAAAAAGGGAGGGGAGAAAAGACGAGCGGGGAAAGACGACGAAAACACCAGGATTCAGTGAAGTGGAGACAGACGACCGAGAGGAAGGAGAAAAGACAAACGGGTAAAGGGAGAAAGGAGAGGGGGAAAGGAGGGAGATTTCTAATAAGGAGAAGAGACATGAATCGAAAGGACAAGAAAGGACAGAAACAAGAGGGAAAGTGAGGAGGGAGAAGAGCAAGGACGAATGCTATAAGTGCAGAAAGGAAGAGACGAGTTGGCAAAAGGGGAGGGGAAAGAAGACGAGCACCACTTGAGAAGCGCTAACACCTGAAGCGAAGCTTCGGACCGACACCGTAGACGGGCCTCGAACACTCGACTTCACGGCGAGCAAATAGGCGAGCATGTCCCCTTTTTCCACGGCCAAAACCGAGTGAGAGAGGGGAAGACGGGAAAAAGGGACACAGACAAGTCCTTGCACACCTCCGTGCGTGAGAGTGTCCAAGGGACGGGAGGAGGAAGAGGGATTTTCCCAAGCCCCGGAAAAGACACAAGGACGACAGAAAGGGAAAGAAGAACGAGAGAGAAGAGACAAAACGCTCGAGAGAGAAAGGGGGCAAACAGCAAGGGGCCCAGTAAGGCGTACACCACAAGCATCAGGGAGGAGTAGCGCAGCAATCATCACGACAGGAAAGGTCAAGGCAAGGCATTTCAGCAACCAAGGTAGGATCAAAAGCATTCCTCCGCCAAAGCCAAGCGAGTCCTGCAAAAGGCGACAAACAACATCAAGGAACGAGAGCAAGAAAGAGGAATAGGGGAGACTGCACCACCGACGGCGCCGAGATAGAGTCTCCTTCTCCCAATCTTCCCCTCCGCTCCTCTAAACAGCACCCGATAGGTCAGGGCATAGGATCACGAATCATCCTACCACCAGCAGACAGAAACGCCAGTTACTACAAGCACGCGGAGACAGACTCTAGTTACAAACCGAGAGGAAGTCACGGTACACAGCAAAACCCCAACAACCCGGACCTGTTCCTCACCCCGATCTCTCCCCCATCGCAATCCTTGTTTCCACCCAACCCGACATTTCTTCCCCAAACTTCACCCACTCTACTCTAGACCGGATAACATCCCCACCCCTTTTCTATATCGTCTCTGAGCCGTTTCCACCCCGATCCCACTCAAACCTCGTTCAACTATTCACCCTGACTCCATCCTAACCCCGACTCGGTCCCGCCTCGGCCCTCCCCCCCCCACTTCCATCCTAATCCAACTCAGACCTCCGCACCGAGACCGTTCCCATCGCAATCTATAGCCCTAGCACAAGTTGCCCTCAAAATCGACCCTACCCCGATCGGATCTACTATACTGCACCGTCCCCCTCCCCCCCCGATCCTTACCTGCCTCGTCCCACCCCATTTCCGACTTCGTCCCATATCACCCCCCACCCAGACCTCAACTCGTTCCCTCCCCAGCTCCACACCGCTCTCTCCCCATCCCCACCAAGTCCCCCATCCCGACCCCATCCCGATCCCATCCCGACCCTTGACTTACAACGAACCATACAAACAGCATCCCGTGTTACACGACCCCAAACAACCAATTACTATTTAAGAATTGCTAACATTAATCATTAACTAATAATACCGATATTAATTAACATCCAACGATTTATTTAGATCAAAATCTGTTCCGTTCTTTCTTTTCTTTTTTTTTTTTTTTTTTTTTTTTTTTTTTTTTGGGGAACTCCGGGCGCCCAATATCACCCAGCTACTCAACTGCAGGCCTACCCGAAATAGCAAGCTGCACCCAGACTGCTCTCAGCCCCCTGAGATCTCACCAAGCTAGACTCCAAATCAGTACTTGGCCAAAGACTAGGAGGGCTGAATAGCGTAGAAGGGGGTAGCAAGGCTAAGCTCCGAAACTAGTATCAATCCCAGCTCCCCAACAGAATCCATCATTTACTGGTTCTGAACGAGGCGCTGGGCACACCAACGCCACTAGACAGCACTTCGGAGCCCTGCACAACAGACATTCAAAGGGTAAGAAAGACGGACCATACAGCCCAAGAACAGAAGCAAAGACCAATCGGAGAGGACCACCAAGAAGGAAAGGCAAGGGAAACAACCAAAAGAAGAAAGAGATGGCAAGGGAAGGAATGGGAATGAAAACTCAGAACTGGCTCGCAGAGAGGACAAAAGTGAAGATGACTAAAAGGACAGAGCTTGTCGACACGGGAAACGGGGCAAAAGAGGAAGTGGTGATATGGGAATATCCAAGAGAATCGCTGCCGTCCCTGGACGAATTCTATTCTAAACACGCAGTCCTCTTCACCTTCTCCAAAAAAAGCCAACAACTCAACAGGGCGGAAAAGCTGAAATGCCTGTGGGAAAAGCTCAAGAGCATAGAGCCGATCCCGGGAACGGAACCAAAGGTAACTTTTCACAGCAGAGGAAGGAACACAATAATGGTTGTCTGCAAAGAAGAAAAACAGGCAGAGTTCCTCAAAAACAAATCCTTCACCTGCAACTCGTCGGTGGTTACGGTCTACCCATGGTCGCCAGCCAAAGCAGCACAGGCCTCCCCCTCCAGGTACCGACAGCAGTTGATGCAGAAGTACTTTTGGATTCAGTTCGACCGAATACGAGAAGGGCTGCATGGGCCAATCAAGGCAAGACTGCAGGAGGAGTACGGCCAATTCCCGATCGTGGATTGGATCACACCCACGCCGGACTTCCTAGTACCGCAGCATGACACCATGATGGCATGCCTAAACACCCAGGGCGCAGTCTCACCGCAAGTACCAGAAATCTGGCACTTTGCAGTCAGAGACCAAATAGTGAAGGTTGTAGTCTCCACCAAAAGCAACCCGCTATGCTTCAAATGCAGACAGAGAGGGCACATGGGAACAGACCCAAGGTGCCCAAAGAACGCAGACTCAGCAAGAAACAGACCTTTGAAACCAACCAGCCTAGAGGAGGTCGAAAGAGAGTCTGGCTTCTGGTTTGTTAGGGACGCCATGTATATAGGATGGGTCTTTAATAACAACCTAGAGACCCCGGACTGGGTATGGGTCATGGAAGGGGAGCCAACCCAAAGACCAGACATCTACCCGACATCTGACAGCAGTTGGCAGGCCAAGAAAGTCGGCAAGAAATCCACCAAGATTTTTACAACAGACCAGATACTAAACAAAGAAAGAGTGCAAGAAGAAAGAAGGTTAAGAGACCTCCAAATGGATCTGGACGAAACAGGTGAACTGGCAGAAAGGAATTGGTTAGAAGTGGTCAAGGAAGGGAAAAGGAACGGAACTCAATCGGGTACAACAGTGAGCAACACACCAGACAGCACGGTAGTGCAATACACACGCAAAGGGAACTCAAGAGCCGGCCAAGAAAAGGAAGCAAATGCAAGGAACGGGGAGACACAAGGACAGGATGTGGAAATGCTCGAGGACACAAGAAGTGGGACAAAGAGGAAAGAGGGGGAAATCACCAAAGAAGAACCCACCAGAAGGAAAGCCGAAGAGGACTACTATTGTGGGCAAGAAGAAGAGGAATGGGATAACAGACCCATCGAGGAAATCAGGGAATACATTCAAACAATGAAGGCACAAAGGGCAAGCATGTTTGAATTGCATATGGCCTACGTGAGAGAAGAAGTGAAGGCAAGGGTGGAGGAGATCCCACTCACAGCAAACCCATATGAACCGCTCAATGAAGAGGAGGAAATGCCAGAATATTATGCCCAACAATACTGTCGAATCAAGAGGGACCGGGCAAGGATGCAAAAGAGAGGGGTGGGGGGTGAAGGACAAGGAGGAAGAGGAGAATGGAGGGAGGACAGATATAGGATGCCCGAGCTGCCAGAGACCTACAACAAAAAGGGGGAAGAGGAGAAGAAGAAAGGAAATCAGAGGAGAGAGAGGGTGAAGGAAACAAGGGAACAAAGGGGGAGCAACAAGGGGCAAAGGGAAGAGGGAAGGAAAGAGAACAGCCAAGGAGAGCAAAAAGGA